AGCCTCCCTGCGCCCCCCAAGCCTCCCTGCGCCCCCTGAGCCTCCCTGCGCCCCCTCCGAGCCTTCCAGGTATGGGGACGGCGGCAGCACCAGCAAAGCTCAGCCCAGCGGCTCACAGAATCACAGAATGGTCAAGCGGATCAAGGGGAATGCTCTAGGGATCATCTAGTCCAACCTTCCCGCTCAAGCAGGCACACCTAGAGCATGTGGCACAGGTTGGCATCCAGGTGGGTTTTGAAGACCTCCAGAGAAGGAGACTCCACAACCTCCCTCGGCAGCCTGTGCCAGGGCTCTGTCACCCTCACAGTGAAGAAGTTCCTCCTCAAATGGAGATGGACCTTCCTGTGTTTCAACTTATGCCCATTTCCCCTTGTCCTGTGACTGGCCACCACTGAGAAGAGCTTGACCGTTCCTCCCTGCATTCTCCCTTCATGAACTTATAGGTGTTAATTAGAGGCTCCTGCCTGTGGCCGGGTGTCCGCCCTGGGTCTGTATCTCTGCATCCCGCTTGGGCTCGGGACCCTCCGGGGCTTCCCACTCCCGAGTGCGGCACAAGGGCAGGCCGGGCTAGCGACCAGTCGGCAGCTGCTCCCGGCTGCATTCAAGGGAAACGGGAAGCCTGGGTTTCAAATCCCTCTGCACGGTGGTATTTGCATTTCATACTTAAGCTCTTTTTCCTTGAAGAGGTTGTTTTAATTACTGTTGGTTGGTAACCATAATAACTGGCAACAAAAGATAATTTCTGCAGTTAATGGAGTACTTTGCTAAGGAAGAGGATATAATTGCTTAGATGCGTACAGGTTACAGCTTATGCTCTTGCTCTTTAAACATTGCCTGAATTTCGCATTTGCCTGGATTGTTCGTGACTTTTTGTTTTACACTTAAAAAGAAGTCGGGTTCAGTAAGTGCACAAAAATAGCATTTAAGAGGGTCTTTCTTGCCTTCGTGAAAGCATCAGTCCCGTACGAAGCCAATTTAAATGAAGGGCTAGCTAGAGGTAGGGGCAGCCCGCAAGGGTTAGCAGGGGTCTGCTCTCCTGGGTCACATTATGTGAAATTCGGGTCCGTGTTTCCCCTCCCCTGCACCCGGCTCCTCCTTCAGTGGTGTCTGCAGCCTCCGGCTCGACAACATGCTCTCCCCGGGCTGGCTGCTCCGGACGGGGCCCCGCTCCATCTCGCTGTCCTGTTCTCTTCAGGGAAACCCCTGGGCCGTGGGGTGTCTGCTGTGCAGAGGGTGAGCCCCAGTGCCTTAGCACCCAGCCAAGCTGCTTGGAGATGGTGTCTGGGGACGTGCACGCAGGCTGCAGGGAGACAGGACGCCAAAGCACCTTGCTGGGCAGCATCTTTCCCCCGCTAAACAAGCCGTGGCTTTGCCTCCATTGGTGCCAAACTTCCTCATCCCCTTGCTTGACTCAGCACATCCACCTGGTCTGCAATCACGTTGCTTTTGAACGGCGTGAGGGCGACGGGCGCCATCCTGCATCTTTGCTGCTTTGTGGGGGACCCCGGGGAGGGTGGCGGTGGAGGGGCTGCACCAGCCCCTTCCCTCCCCGCTATTCCCATCTGGAGCGGCGCGTGCCAGGGCGATGCCAGCACGGCGCAGCCGGAGCCTCGCTGCATCCAGCGCAGGGAGCAGAGCTCCTGGAAACGCTGTCGCAACAGGCTCTGACCTGCATGTCACAGTCAGCAGCAAACAGCTGAAACAGCCGCACGTGGTGGCTGGAATAGCAGGGACGGCACCGGCACCTGGGGACTTTCCCACCTCTTGGACACCAAGGAGCCAGCGCTGCCCCCGTGGCTGGGTGCCGGGAGCTGCCCGTGGCCTGGGGTTTGTGGGGTCTCACCCTGCAGCGAGCCCTGCGCCCGCCGCGGTGCTGCAGGGTTTGCACCAGATGGGCTGGCAGGCGGTAGGTGCCTAGCGGGCGATAAAAGCATCAAAAACCAAGTCATGGTGCCCCAACAACGGTGTAATAGTAACTCAAAGCACATCGCAGTCAAGGGGCTTGCAAGGAGGGTGCCTTTATTTTTAAAACCAAACTGAAGAAAAACTCATGGGTGCTGCTGCTCTCATGCCCATGTGCTCCCAAGTTCCGAGATGCTTGAACTGAGTATTTGCCCTGAGCCTGGCGTGGGGACTGTGCTGGAACAGCAGGGTCTCAGGGGATGGTGGTGTTTGGATGATGTCCCTTGTCTCCTGGTCCAGCCTATAGCTCCTGTCTTGTTCCCTATCTTCCCACCATCACCTCTTAATGGCCGGAGTCTTTGTCTTGGCTTTGGGCTCCCCTTTGTTCCCAGGGCTGAGATGTGCTGGGCTGGAGGACCTGCTAATGTAGGTGCCACCCTGCTCTGCTCAGAGGCCACAACCTGCCCGTCGCAGCCTGGCCTGGCAGTTCTGTACCAGCTCCGCAGCGTCACATCCCGGTGCTGTGTCCATCACACGCGCTGGGCAGGAGCCTTTCCAAACGGTGCCGTTAGGTTGTTGTGGGATGCGGGACAAGAGCGGGAAGGGATATGGAGGGGAACATCACTCCCCTCAGCGAGGCCGCTCGAGGGCCAGGGCAGCCGCGCTGCAGGGACCCCAGCACCCTGCTTGGAAGGTTTTAAAAGCTGCTGAGATTTTCTCAAACCCCTTGTACTGGAGGGGACTGCTCTGCTGCCCGGTGAATGTTCCTCTTTCAGCATCTGCCTGGGATGTTTCTCCGGGACGGAGAGAGTGGCCATGCGGGTGGACTTTCCTTCAGTGCCTTTATTTTTCCTGCAGTTGGTTTGTCATGCCCCAGTGGCTTGGGTAGAAACTTGGACAGAAACAGTCAAAATATCGACCATGTGATGTTTTTCATTGCACGGAGCCCATGCCGATGTCGCCACGCGGCCTTGTTATTTTTCCTGTTTACACCTGCCCAAAAGTCTCCACTCGGAGCTCCGTGTTTGCTGCTGGCAGTGCGGGCGCCCTGCGGCTTCCCAGCTCCGGGGGGATCCCTGTGCCCGGCGCGGGGGCTGGAGGAGCAGGGATGGAGAGACTCAGCTCCTGGCCTCTGCCTCTGCCCTCTGTGTGGGATCTCTGGCAGTTTTACAGTCTTTCTTATCTCCCTTCCCTAGGAGAGGGGCAGGAGGCCGGAGCAACTCTGACGACGCTGTCACCTTCTCTCAGCACAATGCCCACCTCGCAGCCGCCCAGCGCAGCTGCCAGCCTCAGCCCAGAGACTGCCACAGCCCCCGAGAGCAGCTCAGAGAAAAACGTCACTGCTGCCACGACCGGAGGCACCAACGGCACAGAGGGGGACCCCTCCGTCCCCACCACCCCCTTTGCGGGCACCGAGGCAGAGAGACTGCAGGTGTCCCCCACCACCGGCCCCGGGGACGTCACGGTCACACACCACGAGCAGCACAACCCGAGCCCGTGGGGGAACAGCAGCACTGACATCCCCTCTGCTTCCCCATCTGCCAGTGCTCGTGCAGAAAACCCACCTGGCGGCACAGAGGCCTTGGACACGAGGCAAGAAGCGGATGCAGACGGTGCTGCCACAACGGGGCCGCCGAGCAGCGCGCCGGGTGAGCTGCACCCCTCGCAGCGTGGCCGGGATGCACGAGCGGGATGCAAGTCCTTCGTCCCCGAGCTCCGTGGGGAGGCGGGAAGGGGCTCGCGCAGCCTGGGCCACGCGCCGCGGGAGCCTGCACCGCCTGCACGGTGCTCGTGCGCAGCTGCGCCTTTACCCTGGCCGCTGCCGCCGGGTCCCGCGGCTCTGTGACCCTCAGGGACAGCTTTGGGGGTGCCACTGTGGGTCCTGGTGCTGCCTCCGCAGGGAGACAGGAGGCATCTCCCAGCCTTTTGCTCTGGGGTGGTCTCTAGGTCTCTAGCTCTCTGTAGCTGCTTGGGGCTTCCCTGCTCATCCTTTTTCCGCAGAGTGGGACAGGTTTTATGGGCCCCACACCACGCTTGGAGCTTATCCTTTGAAATAACTGTGTGTCCCTATTTACAGCAACAGCCAACAGCTCCCAGCCAGGGCCCTCTGACAGCCAGACCACGGGGTCTGTGACAACGAGACCTGGCACCACGGCAGGGATGAGCCTGGAGGGCGCCACAGAGAGCACCACGGAGCCACAAACTGCCTCTGCCCCCGTCACCGAAGGGAGCACGTCCCCTGCTGCCGCCTCCAGTGCTGCCGCGGGGACAGGGACCCCCGTTGCGACTGCCCCCACCACGGCCAGCACTGCTGCTGACACCCGCAGCACATCTGCGGTAGAGCCTGTGCACGAGAAAGCTTCCGTGCTGGATGTTGGGGATGATGAGAATCCAGGTAAATACTCTGCTCCTGTCTCACTAGCCCAAAATTTGATACCTCAAATTCCTCTGGCTGCTCCAGCTCAGTTTCCTTTGGCCTCATCCCCTTGGTCTCTGTTCCTTGCAGAGCTGCCCAGCTCACCCCTGGCCGAGGCGCCGAAGGCTGATCCCTTGGTCATCGCGGTGATCTCCGTCTTTATCATCATGGTGGGCATCCTCGGCCTCGTGGGCTTCCTCAGATACCGCCAGCACAACAGCCGCATGGAATTTCGGCGCCTGCAGGACCTGCCTATGGTGAGCGGCTCCTTGGGCCCGGCTTGCTACATGGCTGCCTTGCAGCTCCCATTCTGCTGCACTGGCAGCCCCTGGGGTGGCTGTGGCTGTGAAAACACCCATCAAAATCCCCGGGCCCTCGTCGGCCCCTCTCCTTCTATCCCGTGTTTGCATCAAGGCAGCGTGTCTCAAAGTTGGCTTCTGAGGCTGCTTCCTGCCTTCCCCTTGCTCTACAGGGCAACACTAAGAGGTTAAATGCAGGGAAGAAGGGGAACATGCTCCAAACTTCCCCTAAAATACCCCTTCCTATGCCCTCCTGAGCTCAGCTTGCAGGGTGGCAGCTACCAAGCAGATCCAGCGCCCTGTTCCAGGGGAGTTTCCCCCAGCCAGGCTTTTCCGCATCCCTGCGGCAGGCAGGTCCTCCCTGCGTAGGGCTCGTCTCTCCAAGAGCAGAAGGGCAGAGCGAGTGCCCAGGGATCCGGGAATTGCGCAGGGAGAGCATTGCGGGTGGCGGCGGCGGGGGACGGCGAGGAGGGCGGCCGCCGCGCGGGGCCCCTCACGGCGCCCTCTGCTCTGCTCTGCTTGCAGGACGACATGATGGAGGACACGCCGCTCTCCCTCTACAGCTACTAGGCCGCAGGCTGCCTCCCGCCCGGCACGCTGAACTTCCCGGAGAAAAAGGCCTCCACGTGAGGACGTGGTCCCTCACGAGCTGCTGAGGAGCGAGTGGCTGTGATTTGCACACAACTGAAAGATCTTTTTTTTTTTTCTTTTCTTTTTTTTTTTTTCAGATGACTTTTGGTTTTAGCCTTTTTGTTATAGTTCAGTGTTGAAGTTTTATGCTGGGACGCAGCGCCCAGGCGAGGCCCTTGGGCCTGGCTCTCCTCGCAAGGTGCCCCCATGAGGTGCCCTCTCCCAGCCGCTCGGCCGGGACGGTGTTCGCAGCAGCCTCTGCCCAGCTCGGCAGCCACTGCTTCCAAAGGCGATGGGCAAGTGATCCACACAAGAGCAAAGGAGACTCCGCAGGGACCTGAGGATGGGCAGATCACTCTTGGGCTCCCTCTTGTTTTGTATTTTTTATTTTTCTTGCACTTTTTTGTTATTGTTGTTGTTGTTCTTGTTTCAGCTTTAGTACTGGGTTTGGCACTGCCCATCCCAAAACAGCTGCCAGGGGGCTGGCAGACTGCTCTGCTTCCTTCCTCCACACGTACCTTTTCCCTCCAACTAGGGAGTTGTTTTGTGACCACTGGAGAAGTGCCCTTGCTACCCAACATTGCTTTTAAGTTGCCAGGAGGGAATGAACATCATTTTAGCTAAACGGGGATTGATAGGACTCATTCTATTGCCAATTAGACACACTAATTTGGTCTCACCAGGATCAGGAGTCTGTGTCTCCCATAGTTGGTGCTTTCAGCCTATGCGTAAACTCCTTACCCAAACTCAGTAGATGCTTTGGCCCGTTTCCCTCTCTGGCCTGACACCCACCTTTCCTCAGGTACCTCCCATTTTGCTGCTAGCATCTCATTGCTGAAAGTTGTTTTACAAAACTGGTACTGTACTGTCCCTCCCATGTTAGTCCAGGATCAGAGTTCCTTTAGTTTCTCTCGTTGGTCTTTGAGGCCAACGGTGTCTCGGTGTCTCTCTCAGTGTCTTGTCACGAGGACAAATCCTAGATGCAGGTGCCTTCCTCCTCTTCCCTTTCTAGGTGTTAGGATGATTTAGATTCTGCCCTTTTGCCTCAAAATATCACTGCTGTAAACTGCATCCAAGGTGTTGCACCAAGGCTCCCGAGCTCCCTCGAGGCAAACCATGGGCCAGAGTCTTGGAGTGCAGATCTGAGGATCTTCATGTGTCTTGGCTCAGAAAGCCCAGAATTGTGCATGGCAGGATTCCAAGTGTTGTATGGAAGCTTCATGTAAGTAGTACCTGTTCCTGTTTTCTAATTCACGTTTTATGGCACGTGAAGAGAAACACACGCCCATCTCCTCTTCTCTAGGCGGATTTTTGACGAAGCCAGTTGCTCCCTCAGGACACAGCAAGGGCTAGAGACCTTCAACACGTTGCTCTACAAACTGCAGTCCCTCCTCTCCCTTCTGTGGAAGTATTCATTGACCAGGACAGAGACCAGGTGCCAGCCTCACTAGCAAAAGTACCTTCTTTCCCCCCAGTGCTGTTATTTATTGCTCATACTAGCGCAGAGGGAAGGGAAAGGGGGATTTCCCCAAGGCTCAGATTAGTAACCTTTATAAACCCAAAAGATGAGGCTGCCTGTAGAGCAGAACTGGCTTGGGTCAAATAGATGAAGTGGACAAGGCTTCAGTTCTCCCTTCCTGCATTATCACTCCCTAAGTGGCTGACGAATGACCAGAGTGCAGTTCTGGTTCAGCGTTGGCTTTGGGGCTCTGTGTTTACTGTAAGAATGGCCGGTACAATAAGGAAGAAGGGTTGGTTCCCTCCTCCTGTTATTGCATGAAACTGAAGGGCAATTGTCACTGCTCCAAAGCTTTTGTATGGAGCCTTGTCTGCACAGAGCAATCTCCCTAGCTACAGACTTGTTTCCCCTGCCGCCGGGCAGGGTGCTGCTGGGTTTTGGCACAAAAAAGAGGCAAGTTAGTGGTGGAAATTAGAGCTCCATCCTGCCTGAAACTGGTGTAGGCTGGTGTAGCTGGAGGGAGTCTCTGCGCACAACCCAGAAGGCAGGGGCTGGTCCGTCTGGTTTCCTGGGCGTCGCTGTCCAGGGGGAAGAGGTGAGGAAAAAAAACTAGCCAAACACCAAAGTGCAACTTTCTTTGTAAAATATGTTAATAGTGGATTTTTTTTCTGCAATAAAGTTACAAATGCCAAAGGGTTCCCCGCTCCGTATATTTTCATTGCAGGCTTCTAACCAAAGAGCTCCCAGAGACCATAGTGAATTTTGTGATGACCAGCAGTAGTTTGGGGTATAAAGACTCACAGTGAAAATACCAGAGAGCTTCAAACCACAGCTCTCGAGGGCTCAGGACACCACCTTCCACCCGTGTTGCTTCTTGCCTGAGTCATTCCCTCTAGCTCTGGATTCAGTTCATTCCTCTGCAGTCAAATCAGACAGCATCTCTCAAAGAATAGAGAAACTAGACCCAAAATTCTAAAATACGCACCTTGAGATGCTCCTGCTTTGTTTCTGATGTAAGGTTATTCTATTATTCTCATCTGTTGTCAGCATAACCCCAAATTCTATTTACAGAAACATCCTCAAAGCCAGCCTAATCCAAGCTTAAGTAACATCTGTCATGTTTCCTTCTACAGTACAGAGGAAAAACAAAGTAAAAAGGCAGCTTACTGAAATAACACATTTTTTACTGGGCTTTGTAGCTGGTTTGAACTGTTCCTCTTGGAGCTCACACCTACAGGGAGACAAGCAAGGCTGGTTTCAAAAGCCCATCTCTTACTGCACAGCTCATAAGAGCTCTCCTAAGCTAACTATCTGTTAAAGTGCTCAGGTGAAACAGCCCAGTCATATTACGGACCCCATGGTGTTACTTCTTCCTGCAAAGGCCAAACTACCCGGGCACTGGGCTTACGCTTACTGAAAGCCTGAGCTGCTGAAAGTTTCCATGAGGACTCTGGAAAAGCAACTCCCTGGAGACCAACAGCAAGGGCTGAGCCAGCAGACTTCTTTGCCAAGCAAAGCGCTTGCTGAGGAATCCAAACTGTTTCGGGCTGATCTCCCAAACAGGTAGAGGCTTCCATCCTGCCCCAAAGATAGAGCCATAAGGACAGTGAACTAAGAGACAGAACAGACAGGCTACAGCTAAGCCAGGCTTCCCAGGTCGGAAGTCGGCACCTGGTTTATGGTGAGGTCTCCTCTTCTGTTCCCTGTTCCTCCTCTGCTCCATGCTGAATCCCCCTCAGGGTTTAGCATCCCTGTGCATCCCCTCTACGGTATCACGCTGCCAGGCTGCACACGAGGCTGCAGACTCAGCACCTCCTACGGCAGGAAGGCAGCGGCCCTGCACCCACCAAGAGGGCAGAGCTGCAGGAGCCGGGAGGCCGAGCAGCAAACTCAGTAACGAGGGCTATGAAATGATGTATCACACGGGAAGCTCCTCGCCAGCAGCCAAGCAGAGTTCTCCTCATTCCCAGAGGAGAAGAGAAAATGCCTCCTGTCATTTCCCAGGAAGGAAACAGGAGGCTGCACACCTACACATTATTTATACTTCATTTTCTATGACAGTATTCAGGACAAACGTGGATTTGTCACGGGTGCTTCTAGGTGCACCTCCTGAAGCTCTGCCAAGGATGCTGCCATCTAATTGCTACCTCTGCTCCACTACAGCAGCAGAAAGCGAGAGGGAACTTCTCTCCCATCCCCTTCTTTTCCATTCCCTCCAAAGAAAAGAAGAATCATTTGCTTCCTGTCCATAGAACAGCCAAAGCTGTGGCCACACTGCTGTGTTAGTAAGCAATAAGCAAAGACCATGGCTGTTTAACATCCAAGTGTCCATCAGCATGAGGCTCTTATTTGGCAGCTGCATTCAGAAATAAAACAGGTCTTCAGCACCAGCCACTTCTGGCCTCTGAAGGTTGGCATCAAGCACTGCCTCTGCTGCTTGTTAAAGCCCTACAGCACTGCAAGAGGATCATGACCTTCAAATTCCCATCCTATCACAATTAGATGAAGCCTCTTTCCCAGTCTAGTGCTGCAGGGGACAAAAATCAACCTTCACCCACGGCACAACCTGAGAACAGTCTCAGTAAAACACTTCCACCCACAACAGGACCTTTCAGCTGTGGCCAGGGATACAGCTTGCGAACCAGACCTCCTGCCACAGCTTCTTTTGCAACGTTAATTAGCTTTTATCAGCAATCACTAGCTGCTGTATGAAGGAAGCACAACGCTGACCCAAGCCCAGATAGGGTGCCACACCGTATGGTAACTTGCTGCATTTGTGGGTGCTACAGAGCAAAGGGATTAAGACACTCATCTGCACCACAGCCTGCCCAGCCTTCCCTGTGCTCCTTCCTGCTTCCTGCCCAATAAATACACTTGAAAGACACACTCAGGCCAGGTCTGCTTCATGTGCACCAGCAGCTTAACCATGGTTAGGCTCTGTTCCACTGTAATAATTTTTCTTTTGAAAGACTCAACAGCCAAATAACTCCCTGAACCACAAAACCAGCACGATCTTGATCAGACAGGCAGCAGTCACAGCTGCAAGAAAGTGTGTGTTCCTTCCTACTGCTCAGCTTCCTCTCTGCAGGTAGACCCGATCCCCCACTCCCAGTTCAAATAAAGAGCGAGTGAAGTTACCAGAAGCATCCTCCCAGTCATAAAACAGGTCTCCCTGTGATGAACTGCCCAGAATTAATATATCCCTGCAGCAGAAGCCTTTTGCCAATGCTCTTTGAACTCTAATGGAACATCTGTTGACAATCTCCCGCAGGGTAACTTCTCCCCTCCCCTGTTTTAATCCTCTCTCCTTTAGAAGTACTTTTGTTCTGAAATTAGGCACATCAGTTGCCACAGGACGACTCTCAGGCTTGAGAGTTGTTTCCTTTCACACTGGTCTTTTTGGGGGATAACAGTCAGCTCCTTTTCTGTTGTTTTTTTGTTTGGTTTTGAAAGCTTGTTCTTACCTTGAATCACAGAAGTTCTGGATGCTAAATTACAGCTTCTGCTTAGAGCAAGACAATGTTCTCAAACACCTTTCAGCCATATTTAAACCATTCATCTGAGTATAAGAAGGACAATTCTGATCTGGTCAGATTCTGACATCTGGTTCTAAGAAGGACAATTTACCAGGGACAACTGCAGAACTAGCAAAGTTTTGTTCTGTGTGAATCCTGGCTAATGCTTTCTATTCACAGACCAAGAAGATCACTAACCTGATCAGTACTTACTTTTTGAACTAATAAGAGTGGGGGAAGGATAAGAATTGTCACCTACTCCGCACCCCAAGGTGGTAGGCAATGATGTAAACTGCTCTTTGTGGCTCGCTGGCAGAAAGCGGACCTGTCTTTTTCAAGAAAGGGCTGTAAGAAGCACTGGGGAAACAGCCCCTTTTGTTTTACAGAGCCAAGAAAATCCTGGTGGCCCCTACTGAACTACAGAGACTTGTTCACTCACATCCTGCTCGTCTGCATCAAGTGACATTCCAGGCAGCTTTAGCCACCCAAGCAGCCCTTCCTACCAGCCCCGACCTGGCAGGGGCAGTTCCACACTCGGCTCCTCTGTACAAAGCAGAGCCGAACTCTGCGAAACAGCTGTTGCTCAGAGAGGGGAAACTAACTGATCTCAGACTGATCTTCAAAGCAAAAGCCACAGCCCATACAGCTGAACGAGATGCTGGTCACAGCAACAGCCCCTGCCCATGTACAGGCCTGATCTGTGCTCAAGGCCCTCTTCAATGGCCCTTGCTGCTACTCTCAGATTAGCAGCCCAGGCAGTCTCTCTTTGCAAGCCAGCCCTAGCCCAGCTCTGCCTTGCCCAGCCTGTGCCACATCCCAGTGTCCTTTACACTGAATGAGGAGCAGACTAAATGGGAATGCCAGGGACTTACCTCCTGCACCATCCTGTCTGCTGGTACTGAGATCAGCACTATTTATTCACCTCCTCATCAGTCAGTGACTCTATGAAATCAAGTTGCTCTCAGAGAAAAGTGTCTAAGAAAAAGTCCAAACCATATAACAAAATTTTCAAAAGCTTTTTTTTTGTTACTATAGCCATTTTCTTTTTATACAAGAAAATACAACTCTCCCCTTTATGATGAACATGAGAGTCTCTGTTCAAAGAACAATATTTCTCAGTCTATTTCGTGCCTCAGAAAAGGTTATGAATTTACCAACACTTGCCTCATAGTGAGGGCGGCCTTATCATCAGTCCATACTGGTTCTGGTCTTGCAGTGGACAGTCCCCCCAAATTGCACAATCTAATCCAGCTAAGTTCCAGCAGCCACCACCTGGGATCGAGGAAGAGGATGCACAGAGCTGTGCTGTAAATGGGGAGAGTGGAGGCCTAAGCAGGACAACAGGAGATGCCAGCCAACAGCTCAAGTCTTCGGCAGGGTGTGGGAGATGGTGAGCAACTGATATCAAAATGGCTATTTCCCTTCCTCGAGTGGCCTCCCTCGGGTCAGTCCCACACCTTATAACTCCCTGTTCTGGTGAGTCCAGGTAGCCAACCAAGCCCTGAGGAATTTGCCCTTCCAGTGAAATCAATATCCTTTCCACCGTTTATTTGCTCCCTGGGGTAAGGTGGGCTTCCTCTGGCTGAGCATTAAAGGTCACTCAGCTGGAGTTCAGGCAGGCAGGCAGACAGGTCACTGCTGAGGTCGTCGTCTACATCCAGCACATCGCCAGCCTCTTCTCCAGCATCACTCTCCTCCAGCTCACAGCACACTGTGGAGATATCTTGAGAATCTGCAGCAACAGAAAGAGGAATTGGCCATCTCCAGGCTCCTTACCCCGTGTACAAGTCCAGAGAATGAACAGCAGCTTATTGCAGCCCTTCTAGCACTGCTGATTTAGTGTGGACTGCAATCCATAGCAAACTCCAGTAGCAAACGACCTCATTCATCTTCTGCTGAAGCAGAGAAACACAGCAAGCATCCTGGCACACCACGAAAGTTCAAGTAAAAACAGGTGCCAATATAAATGAATTATGGTTCTGAGGGTCCTAGTAAACTGCCAGTGCAGCTCCTGGGTGTCCCTGCTCTAGTATCAATTGAGGTTTCTGATGCTTTTGTGATATAAATATTTACCATTAACACTAACTAAAAGGTTACTAGGCTACTCTTATTGAATGACAGATACTGCTTGATACAGAGCTTTGCCAAACAAGTGATAAGATTCCATTCCTGCCACGTGCCTCAGAATAAATATTAAAGAGAAGAACTTAACCCCTTGACGGACACGGAGGCTGCTTAGGCAATGTCCTGACAATAACCTGACATGTTACAACTGCATCTACAAAGCAATTAATTGTAGCAGGTTTGCTAGTAAAGTCTGAATCAGCAGGATTAACAAACTGTAAAAACAGAATACAAGGCAGTTTAATATGCCTTACAGTTCCCATTTACAAGAATCTTAAGCATCTTACTAAAGTAGGGCATGATTTCTTTTAAAGGAACGTTAACCCCTCTGTTTCTGATTTTCCCCTTTGTTAATACATACACAAGGGGATTTTATATCCTAAAAGCAGGGCACAAATCCAAAAGCAGAGGGGTTGGGAGATGAACCTTCTTGCAGTCAGCAGTTTTCATCTTCCTAATCTCACTGGCTGTGTATCAGCACCAAAACAGAAATGGAGCCACATTAAAAAATGCTATCTTGCCACTGGCAGGGGAAGTGATAAGCATCATAATTGGCCCTTGCTTGGAGCTTTATATTACCCTGACACTCGATGGGGAGGGAGGATGAAAGGCCAGGCAGGCGCACACACGTTGCTCCTGCCCTTGGCATAGCAAGAGTACTCTCAGAGTAAAGTTTTAGCTGTGGCCCAAGTGTTAGGCCATGACTCCAAATCGTTCTGCCTTCCCCTCTCTGGATGCCTAGTGCTCACCTCTCCTAGTAAGCTGAGCATAACAAGTACCTCTAATCACGTTTTCAGCATCATCTCCAGAGTGTCCTGAATGGTTCATGTAAACAGGTTCCTTAGACCTGCCATTCCTGCGGAAAACCCAGCGAGGCTCTTCAGATCCTGAGGGCACAGGGATGAGCCACATCTTACTCACCTTCAGGCACCTTGATCTCTAGGGTGCTGGAAAGCTCGTCAGAGTTCAAGCCTTTGAGGCTGAGTTCTGAGGTGGAATCTTCATCTGAGGATGGAGAAAAACCCTCTGCTTCTCCCAGCAAGTCCTTGCTTCTCTCTAGAACAAATGAAGGAAGCATTAGGGTAGGTCAAAAGTTCAGAAATTAAGGTGCTGAACCTAAGCCTTCACTGCCTATGTTTTATGATGCCTCTTACCACTTGGGGAAACTGCTGCTATTCTGATTTAATGGCATATTACTCTTTCTCGTGTGAGTATAAGCGACAGCACAAAGCAGCAGACAACAGGTCCCAGGATACACAAACCTAAGCAGGAGAACACATTGGCAAAACACATTCAGGCACTGGATTTCACCTGTCCTTGGCACCAACTGCTCTCAGCAGGATTATAGCAGAGGCTGGACCAGCACATTTCTGCTCAGAGGCACAGTCACCCTCAAGCCTTCCATAACAGGAGGCAATCTATTTTGGAAAGGAGAACAGGAGACTGGACCAGACTGTGAGATCTCTAAAGCACAAAGAGGCTAGAAGACTATGTGCAGAGCATTAGGAACATAGAAGCACTTACTCCAATGAACGCTGTGCTTCTCTACCAGCTCAGTGGATGGCATCTCCTTCAAGAACAGACTTTTCACTTGATCTTTTAGGTCAGCGACTGCAGATCTGATTGAAGCCAAAAGAGAACAGTGACAGTTCCATAATCTCAGCAGTGTGTGCTAGAACAGCGACAGTTATGGGGGAGAAGGGAGGGGAGATAAGCTGGGAACTACTTTGACAGGATTTCTGACAAATTCTTGCCACACAGCAACAGAAGGCAGCTCTGCTGAACGACGCAGCTGTGCATTCAGGATATGAAGTGTCTGGCAGCACAGTCCCTGCCTCCCCACCTCACCCGCTCAAGTTGTTATCTCTGCTGTGCCAGCACCAGTCTTTTTACAGCAGAACTGTGAAACTCACCAGGGCTCTGATTCCACTTAAACAACAACAAAAAAAACACAATAAAGTGCTTGTCAGAACCAGCTCGGCTCCCTGATCTGATTTACAGCATAGTCACACCAACAACTGTGGTGGCAGAAGCTCGGAAGGACGTGCACTGCGGGGCCAGTGCAGGAGAGAGTAAAAGGGAGGGAGTATTTTAAGCTGTTATTGACAGCACAGACCTGTCTAATGAAATCACGGTTTGACAGTAGGTAGGACAGTGATATAATAGGGGAAGGCCTGAGGCTTTTACAGAAAGGGAATCGATACTTAATTACAGAATTGCAGCAGAGTTCCATTATTGGAAATATCTCACATAGTCAATGCAACGTTTTTTATCAAACAAAACTTAATAACAGAGCTACGCTGTCCTCCACATTCAGCTTCCACCAACACTTACCCACTAATAAAGAGAGATATTAATATGCTCATGGGCAAGAAGGAGATCAGAAGAGCAGGCAAGGAATTAAGAGACTCTCTAACTCTGTTTCAGATACTAATTGTTACAAGACTCCAAATAATTTGCGTGACCATTTCTACCAGGTTCCTGCCTAATGCAGAGCAATAACCCCTTAACACGACTAGGAAAATAAATAAATAAATAAATAAATAAATACAGGTGTTTTGGACAGGAAGCAGAAGGAAAACCATCATGCTATATATAGGACAACAGCGTGCCTTGGTGACACTTATTTGCTGTTCTGGAGAGCACAGAGAATGAAAGGCCCTTTCTGTGCACATACTTCAGGAATAGATTAAACAATGTTGTGACACATGCGACAAACATCAAGCATTGGTCTGAGGGACATGAACGGGAATGCTGTGGTTTTCCTAAAAGTAATACCTGGAACTCCACAAAGACTCATCTCTGCCTTTCCCCAGAGGACTGATGCATATTCTTTAAATATTGTTTTACTACAGCACGAGACTGTATGGGAAAGAGTTGGGGATGGAGACATGAAACCCCAGTTAACAGGACATCTGGCAGCTATTCCAGGGCAACCGGGGTTGGACAGAAAATGATACAATTAAAACAGAGCCAAAAAAGATCTAAGGATCCTCAACAAGAAAGCTCGGACGTCACTGTCTTCTCTCCAGGGAATAGGTCGGAGTCCTCAGCGGGAAAGCAAGGGCCAAGCTCAGCAGAGGTTACAGGCACAAGCAAAGACAGTTCCCACCAGTGAAGCATGGTGAGAAAGGGAAGATAGGGGAGTGGTCAAGCTGGAAAAAAAAATAAATAGTTCAGGCAATTCAAGTGAGCGCCTCTTCTTTTGGAGGAGCCACAGGCAGAAAAAAGTCTCTATTATTTCCTTCATTTCAGCATGGAGAAGCAAGCTGGTGTCTAACGCGAGCACGCGGAGTCTGCCAGTGCTTGGGCACAGGGCTTGGGAAGGAGAGAGCAGCACTAATTAAACAAGGTAGATGAGAAGGCTCAGGGAAAGAGTGATGTAACTGCCATCCTTCCAGCCCGGCTCCAAGGGCAGCCTGGAGGGAAACAGCAGGTTCTCGCTCAACGCCCACACGCAATAAGCCCCAGGTGGCGACTGCCAGGGCACACGCAGCTCCAGCACTAACAGATGCTGCCGTTTCACCCGTCCTGCTGCTGCTGTCTCAGAGGACTTTGCACTGAGCAAGCAGTTCTCTCCTAAACAGGCTGAACACTTGAGCCCTACCCGCTTCAAGCTTTGCCAGTTCAGGCTTTAAACAGCAGACCTGATGTCTCAAAACTGACATTGTATTGCCTTTGGCATTAGCAAAAACACCACCTTCCTAGGCAAAATGAATTGCACTGCACTGCGCTCCCAGAATACTCCATATTCAGGCAGGTACGAAGGGCAGCATATGGAAAGCTGGCAAACAAGAATGGTAAGCGGAGACATGAGTGTCTGGCATTTCTAAACTTGCCAACATGAGCACTGTGGGAGCTGGCTGCAAAAGTGACAGCTGTGCCCCTGGGGCCCTGCAAAGCCAGCAGCCAGGGGCACCCTTCTGTGACCAACTACTCCCTGGGGGCCCATGAGTTGCATCTGCCCCTGCAGCAGCTCTCGTGTGGCACATGTGGAGCTGGGCACGCCAAGAAACTACCCAGAGGGGCATTCCCTCTACCTGATGTGGCTGAGCTCCTGCTGGGTGCTCTGCAGTTCCATCCTGTGTTGGTCTAAACTGCAAGATTGTTTTTTGTGGCCGTTCAACAGATCTTCCAATACCTGTGAGAAAGAGGGGACAATCACTTCCACAAATTCCCCAGCAGTGGCTTCTAATTGAAAACCATTAGACCCCATAGAAAAGCCTTGCCTGGAAAGGGGCTGGAACAACTAAGTAACGTTGAAACATATATGTCCCCATTGCTGAACACACTTTTCCAGCAGCAAAGATGTTCTTCTTCTTTACAATCTTCTTGCTTTGGATCACGATGGCTACTTAGCAGCATCTGTAATGTCTTCTTCAGGCTAGGCTCTCTCGACAAGAATTCAAGTTTTGCTAAAGAGAGTGGCAGCGTTTTGCCCACAGTGTTCCTCTGGCTCTACAGAAGATTTGAGAGCATGTCTCCACCTTCCCTTGGGAAGCAGATTACAAGCCCTGGCTGTGCAAGTATGCTTGTGCAGCATGAGGTTTCCAAAAAGATCATAACACGCTGTTTGTTGCAAAGAATCCAATCCAACTTCTAGCTCTACGCTAATATTAACCCCTACCTTGCAGTTCTATTCACTCTATACTCCATTTTTCAAGTCTTTCCTAATTCTCCCTTTTGCTAAACATCATATACTTCCTCATCCACTAAATAAAAAAAACTACTTCATTCCAGCTCAGTAAACCTGTCATATCAACCTACATATACACCCCTATTTTCTTCCATTTATACATGCTTTGAAGATACCTTTCTAACTGCGCTCCATCATATGACACTGGAGTAGAAAAGCCTCTCTCACTCTTCTTGCTCTTTCAGCAAGCTTGGGAAACACACTGGTTCATTTGGTCAAGGCCTTGGGGTGATATTACCCTTTTACAGCCCGCAATAGCATTTGCAGCCTGGCTACTACTCATAGTAAACTCTCCACAGATAAGAACACTGCGTTCTCCTTGGCTGGCAAGGCCTGCTCATTCCGACACCAGGTCTGCCAGAGGATATTAAACCACCCAAGCCCAGATGCAAGAGGTGTGACGATAAAGCTGCCTACCATGGAGCACCGACTTTGAGCTCTCTTGATTGCATCAGCTGCAGACATCTGGTTCAACAGCTCTTCCTCTTGTTGATCTATAGAGCAAAACAACTTGATGTCACAGAAAGAGAAAAATGGCTAAATTACTTCCTACATCTGATTCTCCCATCTCTATTACCAAGCAAAACCTTTCCGAAATGCACATGCAGCTCTCCCAGAGCAAAGGATGGATTCAAGGTGGCAGGCAAGCCCATTGCATGCCCTCTCCCACAGCAATCCCATGGCACAGCATGGGGGTCACTGCTACCCAGCCCTTTGTACCCATCTTTATTTCTGCTCCTGCACAACCTGTTCACCAGCATCCCCACTTTCACACTCCTGAACAAAGATCCTCACTGACAGCAAATACTGCAGTGCTTCCCACTGGGGCTGTTTCTGCTAGGCCATGTGGGCAGCAACTTGCTGCAAAACTTGCTCAGAGGAGCGTTCACACCACTGCCAGGAGCAGAACGCAACACTCACCGACTTTATGCTTCAGTTGCTCCAGCTCTTTCCTCATGCACACATGATCTTGCCACAGCAGTTTTTCACTGCTTAAAGAAAGGAAAAAAAGTTAAACTTCCTCCTGCTGTAATTCCCCTGGCCCAGCCCTGAGCTTGCAAAGATCCCAGCACTGACTTCACTTTCATTTCTCCAGGCCTGTTGGCACAGGGGTTTAGATGAGCTCCACAGTCAGCATGAGGCTGGCGAAACTCTTGCTGTTGCTGTTTATGGTGTTTGCTTTTCAGCTCGTCTATCCTCCTCAGCAAGGTCTCCAAGTTACTGTAAGAGCTGTTCTGCAACCGCTGAACATCCTCTATGACAGCAAATGAGAAAAGGAGGTGTAAAGGTCTCAACTTTCAGTTGCTAGGACAGAAGTGATAAGAACAGGATCAGATAACAATGTTTACAACAAAGGAGTTCTCACAAGGATATCTTAATCTAGACCAAGCTTGGTCATGTCTTTCCAAGAAATCACTTTATTTCCTCCCTGTCCGTTTTCTTTCCTGAGAGGCAAACTAATTCTCAGATTTTTAAATCTTTAAAGAAAAGGCAAAGGAATTAACGACAAACTCAAAAAGCTCTTTCTGACTTGTATCATACAGCCTGTGTTCTCATTCAACAGGGAGATGCAACTACATGGCTGCACTCACAGCCTGTTGTTTCTTCAACAGGACGTAGGCACAAGTGACCTGTGCAACAGGTTTCTGTGATCATCCCACAGCGCTTCAGTTCTAGACCTTTTATCTTTACTACCTTCCAGGTTATTGATCCGCTGCTGCTGGAACTCTTTCTCCTGCTTCAGTTGATTCACAGACTGAGTGAGCAATTCTATGATCTGAGGGGAAGGACAAGAATGGATTTTGTATGAGAATAATTTAGACCAGGTTAAAAAAAAAATACAGATAACAAGTCAACTGAACTTCAGAAGCTGGAAGCACAGGAAAGCCTGGAAAGTAAAATAAAATCCGAATATGATAGATAGAATCCTTATCTCCCTCTCTACAGAAGAGATGGACATGCTAAAAAACAAGTTTGTGGATTCTAGAAGACAGGGGGGCAACTCCACAGAGCAGAGAGTTTCCATATATGAAGTAGTACTGTTCCCAGGACACCACCCCAAAGGTGGTGCCCCAGCACTTCATAAAGCTGAGGAACAGCAGTTGGAGACAGATGCACATGAAGTAGCTACAAAGATTATGCTAAGGAGATCCAAATCTGAGTCTCCATCACTGCAGCTGCCCAGGGAGCAGGGAAGCTACAAAACACATACTTTCAGTCTGGGGAGGAGAAAGGATCATCCACAGAGGCCTTTCTAACTGTTTTTGTGATCTGTGTCCACCCACGCAGGAAGGTGTGGCTTTCAAACAATACACGATGAAAGAAAAATATGCACAGTCTTACAGTATTACAGTATTACAGGCTGGATGGGCACATGACACGGCTGCGCTAGGAAAATTCGTTCCTATCAGAGAGGCGATCTCAGCGAAGGCCTAAATTACCTTGGTCTGGGAGCGCAGCTGCCGGGTGACGGCTGCCAGCCTCTCCGCGGCGGCGCTGCCGAGCGGGAGCCCCGTGCAGGCGGGACAGGGCTGCTGGCCTCCAAGCACACGGCCTTCACACGCAGCCTTCACGGGGCTTATTCTGTCAGCCTGAAAATCCGCTAAGAGATCAAAAGCAACAGACGGTACCAGGGGCTGCAAGGAAAGAAACCCACCTGGGCCGGCCACACGGTTCGACTTGCCTCGGCTAGCATAGGAGGCAGGGAACTTGGAAAAAGGCCAAAGTGCAGGTTAAAAACCAGAAGTGAGATTCTTCCATATCCCTCCTGAATGATACAATCATGCAGTCATTAGATAAAGCAGCTGTCTACTGAGATCATTAATCTAATTACCAATAAGAGCAGTTTGAAAAGCAGTTGAACGCTACATTGGAACGCTACCACCTTGGATGTCAGATCCTGGGCACCAGCAGCTCTCGGAAAACACAGAGAGAAAACTACCCACCCTAAACAACCACATGAGGAACATGTGAGCAAGGAAAGAGATTTGCCTCTACTCCTGATGCACTCTGCCTATGAAAGCTGCACGTGCTGTTACCTTTAGAGGGGACATTGGCCATGCTGAGACGCTGCTGTAAAACAAAACAAAACAAACAAACAAAAAAAAAAAAAAAAAAGAGGAAATTAATTACTGGTTTGTTGAAAGATGGCAACTCAGCAAGGAGGGGGCAGCACATGTGGCTTTGAACTCGGGCCAACATGGCCACTAGGCTCGGGGACCCGGCGCGCACTCGCCTTGGCCCGCGCCACGCCGCAGTCGGCCTGGGCCAGCAGGGAGCTGAGCTGCGCTTCCCAGCTCATGGCGCCGCCGACACAGCGCCGAGGCCCCGGCACGGCGGCCGCGCCGCAGGCCCCGCGCGGGGCCTGCTGGGACACGGAGTCCTGACAGGGCGGGCGCGCGCGGCCGCGGGAGGGGCGCGCACTACAAGCCCCATGGTGCCTCGCGGCCCGCGCCGTCTCCTAGGAGAGGCGGCGGCCGGCGCCTTTGGGGGAAGAGGGTCTCCCGCGTTTCCCGTGGTGCCCCGCGGGCGGGCGATCAGAACTACGTGTCCCGTGAGGCCCCGCGCGGCAGCAGCATGGAGGCGCGCGTGGCGCAGCAGCTCCGCGGCGCCCTGGGCCCGCTCGGCTTCGAGGTGCACGCCTTCAAGGTACCGACGTCACGCGGGGGCCGCCGTGACGCCACCCGCCGTGACGTCACGCCGAGGGAGCGCGCGGCGGTTGCGGGGCGCGCCCCTCCGCCCCCGCCCGGCTCGTCCCGGCTCGTCCCGGGGCGGCGCGGGCGGCAGGGGGCGCTGCCGCCCCGGCCCGCGGTCCCTGCGCGCGCACGGGTGCCCCGGGCAACCGGCCCCTTCCCCGCCGCTCCTCAGCGGGCCGGTCAGGCCGCGCCGTTACCGAGCCGGACACTGGTCAGGCAAGAGCAGGAGTGGCGGGTCGCCGAACTGCTGTTGACTGAGGGGGAATGAGCGCTCCGGAAGCTGCCTTCCCAAAACACGGCAGCAGAATGAGCAATATTCAGGTCGCCGTCTCTCTTAACTTTTCTAACATTGCAGTTCATCTTAAACAAAAGCCACAAAACTGACTGAACCTTGCGGTTCAGCTAAGAAGGTATGTTTATAGGTACATGGATACATATACAAGTTATTTTTATCTCTGTGTTTCCATATGTGCAGGTCTGGCTGCTACTGCCTGCTGTAAAGTCACTTTCAAAACCATTTCATTGTTAGAGCCAACTGATACTTTGCAGTTTCAGGGAATTAGAGGCACATTACCTGACATATTTCCAAATATTAGAGCTAATCTTTATGATATTCCAGGAGAACAGAACTCGTCAAAATGTTTTAAGACTGCTGTTGTGCTGCAGTATATGAGTAATGGAGTGCTGGGGTTCCCAGCCGTTCCTCCTGTTCTTCCTGCTGCCCTGGCTTGGACCCTCATTTCTGGTTGGCGTTAGGGTATGTTCAGTCCTGAAAGTGGAGAAACCCTGACACGTGGCTATGGCCCCATCCATGCCTTGCAGCTGACGCTCTGCTGCGGGCCTCTGTCGCTTCAAATCCCTCTTTTTCACACACAAACATTTACTGCTGTAGAAATAAGCCACACAGCTTGTCATATAAGCAAAACAGAAGTTGCACTTTCTCTCTGGCTGAAGCAGAACAACATTGTCTTATTTAAACACAAAGAAAGAAAAATAAAACACAAAGTGTCAGTCTCCTTTTTTTTTCTTTCAGCTAAAGAGAGACATTACAAGAACATAAGGATTAATTATACAGTGAGGGGAAAAAAAGCAGAACAGGACTAGGACTGAGGTTATTGGAGCTAAAAGTTCAATTGCAGAACTCCAGAGAGCAGCACAGTGCCAGGAATGACTTGAAAGCCATGGGATCTCCTAGAAAATCTTTACTCATATGGGAGAAAAATTTCCCAGCATGTTGCACTTCAGCTTTCTGCAGTGTTAGCAAGACTTGGCATTGGATGCTCTACCTGTACTGGACAAATCTGATTTTGACTTGCACCATTTCATTATGGTAAACTAGTTTTAGGGAGAAAAGGACTTTGGATGTTTCGGCTCTCAGCTTGAAGTGATAATAAGCCATCCTCCCATGGACTGTTTTCTATGTGCAGTCCTGCAGTTAAAAGCTCTTTTGGAAAGTTGGCTCTTCAGAGAGAAGTCTGCTTTTCTGGGCTATAGCTTCTGTGAGCTTTTTCCTTTTTTTGTTGTTGTTATAGGCCAGGGCATTTGTATGCAGCATTTTAATTTGTAATGAGTTTGTTTGCACCTGCTGGCACAACAGGTATTTGCTGAGGAAGTGAGTTAAGTTAGAAATAGGTGATGGAGCTTTCAAGGGGGAAAAAGAAGGACTGTGGGCTGCCCAAACACTACTAAGCAGTAAGAAAAGCAGTAGGAACCTTGTCTAAATAACAATCCTTGTCTAAATAACAATCCGAGTGTGAATCAGGCACTCTGAACCAGAACATCTGATTTGCATTGGCAAGACTGGTGGCTGATACTTCCGTCTATGGCTTCTGGGCAGAGCTGGCTAAAGGGCAGTCTTCATCTGAATGCACCCGATCATCCTTATCTCTCCTATCAAGGTACAGCTTCCAGAAACTGTAAATCTCAGTAGGCAAAGCTGCCTGGTTTGAATGGAAGGAACTAGGTGGATTGCATATCTGGGTTGCAAATGAAGGCAGCTGCCCCGCTTTCCCCTTTCTAAAGTCACTGCATGCCTGCTGGCAAAAGTGCTGAGCCTGTTTTAATGGAGATTTGTTTGTCTCTGCCAAAGGTTGGATGGTACAATGCTGTTCTCCAGCCTGCCTTCCACCTCCCGTACCCAGAGGACACGCTGGCCTTCGTTGTCCTGAGCACCCCTTCAATGTTTGACAAAGCCCTTAAGCCTTTTGTGAACAAAGAACGGTTAAAAATCATCAGGGATCCCGTGGACCAGTGTGTTTCTCATCATTTGTCATGTGTGAAGGAGGTAAGAACCTTGAAATACTGCCTCCTTTTTCTGTTGTGGAATATATCCAGGTGGTTTGAGTAGGAGACAGAGCGCTCCTGGTTCCTGCTCTTGCTCTTTAAAAGGGTGAAAACATTATTCATGGTGCTAAATTCTTACTAAGAACATCAGCAGGCTGCTGACCTGCATATTCTATCCCTTTGCCATTATAGCCTATAGATGTTTGAGGCGCTTTACAGTCTTTGTTTGAAAAGCCAAGGCCCTAGGATTATTGGTAGAAAATTTTGGGAGCAGGATGTGGGAATCTGCAGGGTTGCTAGCATGCAGCACTTCTGTGGTGGCAAATCTTTTTTCCCTAAGTCTGAGCTGATGTTTTCCTCCCCACTCCAGAAATTCCCTGACCAGAAGGTGGATATCATCTATGATTACGAGATTCTGCCAAACCGAAAGCCCAAGTTTTTGGCCCAGACAGCTGCCCATGTTGCGGGAGCAGCTTATTACTACCAGAGGAAGGACGTGAAGCTCGATCCTTGGGGGAAAAAGGTGAGATGAAAGCACAACCCGTGAATCATTGAAGAGCCATCAAACTGCAATCACTGAATTATGCAAAGGTTTTTTATTCACTAGTCCTTCCTTCAGGGAAGTAAGAAGTCCTGATCACAAATAGCTGTATAAAGTGTTCAGACAGGATTCAGAAGCTTCCCAGATACTTTAGGGTGGTAGAGAAAAGAGTGAATGGAGAAGCGTATGTGGATGTATTAACTTACTAGGTAAGGGAATAAATACCAAAGTAAAAGATCTGCTTACCTATAGAGCACAGTCTGTGCTGCTGTTTATTTCTATGTTGGATTTTCAGAGAAACTTTTCCTCACGTCACAGTGTGGCCTATGTGTGGGCCTAGGAGAATGAGAATCAAATACAATGCTTTGAGCCACGCAGTGAGGAAAGGACTTTCCTCCCTTGCCCGTAGAGCTTTCCCCTATGGGCTACGGGTGTTAGAAATTGCATCAAAGCTTAGTGTAATAGTTTGATCTCTCAGCATGACTAAAAACAAAATGAGGAGTCCAAACCCCGGTCTTTTGTCCTTCCAGAGGATCTATGGCGTGTGTATCCATCCCAAGTATGGCGGCTGGTTTGCTATCCGGGCTGTCCTCCTGTTCCCAGATATTCAGGTACCACTCCTGGAACAGTCTGCCCCGATTGACTGTGTGAGCACAGAAGAGAAGAGAATTCAGTTGCTGGAGCAGTTCAATTTCCACTGGCAGGACTGGCGCTACCGGGACATCGTTGAGGTGAAGGAAAGGTACTCGGAGGAGCAGAAGGTCTATTTCGCCACGCGCCCTGCCGAGCGCTTTGGGCTCCTCGGCCTGCCAGGAGCAGCGCAGCGGGGCGCGCTTCCCTGAGCAGCGCCGTCTCCCGAAGGGACAACGGGAGAGCAGCGTGTAACTCCCAGCACTTCTTCCCTGTGCGCCGAGGAGGAGCACGTGCCGACACAGGGAGCAACCTGGGCAGCTGACCTACAGCAGACACCAGCATCACAGGCAAGGAGGGAGCGCTGCCCACGTGCAGGGAGCAGGGGAGTCCCCTCCGTGCTCTTGCTGATGCCACGTGTGCTTGTTGAATCTGGGAAGATGCCCATTAGCCTTTGCCTGGACAAAGTTCAGACATTTTTGCACTAGAAAACCCATGCTGCTAATTAGAGAGTCATGTGTCCTCTTAAGATTCCAGTTGTTTTGGATTTACTCTGTGTAAGAGTAAAAAAAGTATACTTTCAGTCACTGTGCTCTGAAATAACTTTTCTTTGGTAGGAACTCAGGGCAGATATTTTTTAGTTGTGTCCAGCACTTCACTACCTTTTGTCATAAGTCTCCCTGGGAAACAAATGTTCAATCTTTTCAGTCTTGCCCTCCTCAGGGAGAAAAAAAAAAAAAAAAAAAAAAACAAAAAAAAAACAAGAGGATGTTCTGCATTCCTTGCATTCCTTCACTTTTAGCAAAGCTGGCTTAATACAATTAAGAAATATTTTAATGTCTCCCCCTTAACATTCAAAAGAAGATTCTCCAAAGTGATTGTTTCAGTAAGGAGCATAGTCCTGTACCTGGAGCAGGACTGAGCAAAACATTGCTCAACAGCAGCCTCGTTTTTCAGGATAGTTATGAAAGAGAAAGTGACAGTACAAGGGTCACGGACTAAGTCTCATATATTTCCTTTACACCCAGTGTGAGCTTCTTAGAACAAGGTGAATTCTTTATGTCAGTTTTAAGATCTTAACCCTTTATAGAGCAGCCTATGTCTGCATCAGTAGAGTTTTGCTCATATTAAGCTGATGGACTAAAAATTTAACTTTCCACAACTTTTTTCTAAGATAGATTTGAATTGAAATAATTTCCAGTGTCGTGCCAGCTATACTCTGGTTTTACTATATTAGTTTCCTGTTTCTTTCTGTTTTCGTGTGAGGGAGACCATAAACTTCCACACATACAAAAAAAAAAACATTACATGAAACACACACACACACACAGTTGACAAAGCAGAAGGTGTTTTTTTTAAGGAATAGGAGGGAAAATATGCATGATTTTCATGGTACTCATACTGCTGGATAACACTTTTTTCAGACAAAAATACAACTTTTCTCTGTTTAGATGATTGTATCTTGTTTGATTTTTTTCAGAGCTCAAATGGCACTGAGAATCAGGAATTCATTGTGATTCATATGATAATGATGACTTAATTTATGCAAAATAATTTAATATTTAAAAATGTGTTTTTATGGTATAGAATTAGTTCTGGTTGAAGGGTTGGCTGACCTTTCCAGAACGTTTTAATTTAAATGTAATTTAACAAGGACTTGAGTTCACGGTTTCATATGCACAAAACAATGATTCTCCTAGAAGGATACAGAATGAGATCAGATTTCTCTTTTTACATTACAATTTAAATTAAAATACTTTGATTTGGGGATTTTTTTTTTGTATAAATGTTCAATATTTTGTTGTAGTTCATTCAATGAACAGATTGCCACTGCCATTTCATTTCATGTAATTTATCTTTACCGTTTATTTTGGTTAATAAAATATGCAGTGTTGTAAGTAATCTGGAGCACTGAGTATTTTTGTCTAAGCAGTGCAACGTGTGAGAATTGATCATTGTTTTTGACATACTAAAAACAGCTACAACAATGCACAAAAAAGCATCTGGAAATAGTAACAATAAAAGTTAGTGATTTTAGCAGAAGTCAGTAAATTATGGTAATAGGCAAATCTGTGTTACTGAAAAATGAAACATTTACCATGAATAGGTCTAATAAGTATTGGTTTTTATCAGGTTATTTGAGCAAGATTATTTTATAACAAGTACACTTCATTTTTTTTCTACTTGTTTCAGCAATAACAAAAGGTAGTAGATCCAGCAATGTGTGACTGGTATTTGATAGGTGTTTTCTCTCAGTAACTTAAAAGTAATACTTGTAATTACTGGAATTTTTATTTGCTAAAAGAGATTTGTGAATATTGAAACCGAATCAGGGCAAACCTGTGTTCTCTGTGCTCCTGGCACTAGAGGTATGTCAGAGCTAACACAAATATTTCATATCATCTTTGGAAGGGACTGCACTGGTTCCTCATGTCCTTCTTCTAGGTAAGTCCTAGCCCACAGTTACAGCTGGCAATTTTCTTTCCCTACAAGTTGGAGAGAGAACATAATGGACTTTGTCTTATAAAACTGAAGCTTGAGAACTTGTTGCAGTTATCTCATCTCTTGGGACAAGACTGGACATGATGAGGAATGGATCGTTCTCGAATGATGAGGCATCCTGAAGACATTCTTATTCTAGGTAGTTTCAAGTGACAAACAAGTAAATGCAAATCCTTGAGTGGATTTGTTAGCTCAAGTATCACATTTTATGTGACCAAAATTTTTGGTGTCCTGTGGTGCTACTATGGTCTAAATTAGTGAAAATGCATAGTAACTTGAATTTGACTAAAATCTGAGTGAAGACTTCCATATTTTAATAATAATAATAATAATAATAAACACTTCAGGTAGTGAGTATATTTTTAAAAGCTTGCCTTGAATATGGATTTCAGGGGCAACAGTTCCAAGCTTCTTCCTTTAAAGGTAAAAGTGGGTAGTTATTGGCTGCAGTGGAGTTACTTACAACTTTGCAACCTTTACTTTTGTAAATTCATAAAAACTGACAAATTAGTTTCTTCTTGTTATCTGTTAAGTTGGCTTTCTGTCATACCATATGTCCTGTGAGATTATGAATTGTTGGCTTCAGAAAGCAAAGAGCTCTTTCCTTCTAGGTTTTAAGAGACAGAATAATTTTAAAGCAGCTCTTTTCATGCCATACTAGGAAGCAGAGCTACATTTCATATTCTAATTTCATTTCACAACTTTTTTTTTCCCCCCACGTAGTTATGTTTACCCAAATCATTCACTGTTGCTTCGATCCTTTTAATAAACTCTTCTGAAAAAATCAAACAGTGCAGAAATAAAAAGGATGTCTACCTTGTGTTCTTGAAAAGTGTACAGAAATAAAGATGAATTTACTTTGTGAAAAGTGTATTTGATTAAACATTAACTTTACATCACATTAACTTTTACTAAAGGTAGCTTAAAGACTTTTCTTTTTTGACAAAGGTTATCTAATCTTCTGTGTCAGGTTGGGTGCTTCAGAAATGTGTTTCTATAGAACATTAAACACTAACTTAGTGGGCTTGCAGTTCCCTGAGGGCAGTGGAGACGTAACCTGAAAGTCTTTATACGCACACACACACACACACACACACCCATATATGTACACATACATAAAGCCATACATACAAGGTGCAGTAGTACCTTGCACAAGAGCATTTTACACTCAGACACCAGCTATACGTAACACCTATGACAATTCACGTTTCAGGTGAAAAGAGTAAAGTTTCATGCTGAAATCCAAACCCGTGGCCCGCAGGGGTGCTGAGAAGCCCTCGCAGCCCGGCCCAGGTGGCCGCTGCAGATTAGGGGGCGACGGTTGTTCCATCCGCACACGCCTTGGCCTGCAAAGCCTTGATTCCACACAGGCTACAAACAAACCCTTCAATATTTATCAGTACATTTCTCTTTATGCCCTGTCCATATTCTGAAACAGTGTTAGCAGAAATTATGATATGCATTCAAAGCTGAATTTTGTAGGCATTTGTAGTGCGTTCTTTACTATCGGTGTGCAATGATAGTAGTTTCTGTAATGTTATACTTCAAGACTCTGTGAAATGCTGATTTATACCCATTTTAGAGGTGAAGACACTGACTAGGACCCAAGATAGATACAGACATGTGGAGTGCCAAAGTAAAATAGTTTCTGACTATACTCTAAAGGCAAAATCATGTTTTTCCTCTCCATAAACTAACATTAAAAATAGAAGCTAATGTATTCATGATAAAAAAGATAGCAGTTATTTCTGTCATTTCCTAGTTCCTTATTTTATATATATATATATATATATCATTAACTTGTAATAAAAAGGTAGCAAGTAACAGTTTCACCACACTTCCTGATTGAAATCCAATTTTACTGCATTCCTACCCGTACACAGTGGACAGGGGCGTTATAACTCACCTGCGTCCTCACACCCCTCCTGTGCAGTTGCCTTCGCTCTGTCTTTGCAGAGCAAAAGCAGGGAATATGTTTTGTGAAAGTCCTCTAAGCTTTACCTGAGAAGCAAGATATATCAGAAGAAGTATTTACCCAGACTGCCATTTGTTCAGACTGGTCAATACTGAACATCAGGCTCTTTGAAAAAATCACAGAGAATATATTATATATATATATGTATGTATACACACTTAGCATATATTTCAAACTACTAGTATGATAAAAATCCAGTATTTTAACCTAATCTCTACATGACTTGTTTTGATATATTTCTAAAAAGAAGAGTCATGGGGCTTCCATAAAGGTACTTTCCTATCCAAAGTGCATCATTTTGCAATAGTTGTGGGATATAAACCTGATTTTGTTCTTTGAACTTCATTGATTGGCTGGGTAATTTATCAGATGAACTATTTATTCTAGGCATGTATTTAAAAAGGTAGGACACTAGTTAAGAAAATAGCATCTAAAATTTTTAACTATTTTTAGAGTATTTTTCAAATACAGCAGGAAACATATCAAAATGCTAAATTTAATTTTCAAAAATGTCATCACACATCTGCAAGGTGTTACACAGGTGAGGAACATAAAACACCCCAGGATCCTCTTTCCGCTGTGGAAGTTAGAGCTGAGGGGATTCTTTGGCACTCTCTTTCGTAGCTGAATATTAACAGCAGATTTCCTGGTGCTGTATTTTATTTCTCTGGCCACGTTGCCCTGTGTGCACCACAGGCCTGCAAAGACCTGCCACACAGGGATCTGACTTTCTCCCTTAAGTCTGGATCCATTCAAAGCGTTTGCAGCATTTTCACAGTAATGCTACAACATCACTACAAAGAAATAATTGTCATCTCTCTCTGCAGATTTACTACCAAAAAAACCCTTTAACTCTGGGCCTGAATCTCAACTTCTCAGTCCTCC